AAAAAAAAAAAAAAACACTCACACACACAATAGTCCCCCCACGCCTCTAAAAAAATAGAACAAAAACCCCTCAAATAGGTTAGAATTTATGTTTGAACTTGTGTATGTCATCCTTACCTCTTTTTTTTTTTTTAACAATTATGGGTGTACGGGTCAGTATATACACATTTCGATTAATCTCCTCTTTATTTCGGTTAAAGGTGTGTCAACCATACTAGAATTAAAGTATTTACGAAAGATAAATTTCTCATAGCATAACGTCAAGAACTTGTTAAAATTCGAATTTATGTTGTCTGAGTTAACAATTCATCCATGTTTCCATTTAAACTACTTTTGAATACAAAAGATTCAAACTTGTGTATGCCATCCTCAAGTGAAAGTGGAAGCTTCTAGTGTGAATGTGAATTAGCAACTTTTTTGCTACAAATTAGCAGGGGAAAGAATGACCCGGAGCTAAAGATTCTAGAAATTTATGGAAAAAGCTTTCAAGTACATGTGCATTGTCCACTATTCATGATGTGCAGTTGGGTTTGTGACTTACAAAATACCTACTTCAAATGTTAACATTGGGGTTTGACTTTGCTTCTAAAGGATGTGCAACACCAAAGTGTACTACCTTTTTTTTTGTGAAAGTACAATTTTTTAAATCTAGTTACGACACAAAATACAATCAATCAAAATATTTTAAGATTGATTCTAAAAAATATAATGTTTAAGGTTAAGTCATCCTATGTTTGGATAAAATAATATTTTGGGATGTTTGAAATTAACTCCAACATTTTACAATTGATCTTAAAAATATGTAGATCAAACTCAAATATTCAAAAAACGTTATAGCTTGGCATCCCAAAATTTACAATTCAAGTCCAAAGATTAATATCTTTTTCGGTACATTTCCATATTATAGACTTATCACAATCATTAGGCTCCATCATTTGTATTCCATCGCCAATCAATCTTTTTTATGTACCTACACTTACATGTCGATAACTTTAACACCCCATGCAGATTTAAGTTTATTTACTTTACCCAACTCGCTAAAATTCCAATTAAGAAGTTGAATTATATTTCTTAGCCCCGAAATTTTACCTATCAAATCACAAGATTTGAGTTCAATTTTAACAAGTTTAGATTATAATTGACTCGCTTGCTAAGAATCATTTAATTATGAGTTGCATTGCACCAATTCAAATTTATACGAGTACTTATAAATGATAGGAGTTTAATTGTATGGTGTAAATATAAATTGTATATTAATTTTATGACAAGACCACATAAATATGCCCCAGTTGATGGAAGTGCCTCATAGCTCCAACATAATTTTGAGTTTATCTTATTATTATGAAAAAAAGGAAAGGGTGGGGCATTTAAAGAATATGCCCACCTTTCCATCCCTAGGTGAAGGTGTTTTCTTGGTCACATTTTGAGAAATTGTCAACACCGCCCTGTCCCACATCTTCACATCAAAACTTTTCAAACACACACACACACACACACACACACACACACACACATTTTTTATCCTGTCGACATACAAATCAAGGTCTTTTCTGATCCTCTATCTTTGATGCATTATGCATGAATCAATCAACTCTAGTTTCTTTATTCTGTTTCCATCTTTCAAATGCAGAAAGGCCATGCAATAGTCTTCGAGTTAGGTAACCTGCCCGGATAGATATACACTCTCCATGGACCCCTCTCTCTCTCTCTCTCAATATTATGTATGTGTGTGTGTACAATGGTTATTCATACACTCATGCCTATATATATGCCCATAAGTTAAGTTCTTACAAAATTTGCATTCCATACCCTTTAGGACTGGTCCAATAAGCTCCATAGTTATAAACCAAACCCTAATAGTAATGGCTGCATTTTCTTCTTCTAAGGCCATTGTTGTGGGTTTGGCTCTGTTTGTACTCTTTATGGGTAGCTCCAGGGCTCAACTTTCCATTGATTTTTACTCCGAATCTTGTCCTTGGCTTTTCCCCACTGTGGAATCTGTGGTTCAATCTGCAATATCAAAAGAAGCACGGATGGGTGCCTCTCTTCTGCGCTTATTCTTTCACGATTGTTTTGTTAATGTAATGTCACTTTTTTTATGTGCTCCTTAGTGTGTCGGTTCGTGTCGTCGTTCTTTATCATTTCGTGTCATCTATGTGTTATTATATATTTTCATTTTATGTCATTACATTTCGCGACATTTTTGTCTTATATTTTTAGATTTATAACATTTTTAATCCCTAAAATATGTATTTTTTATCAATTTAGTCTTCCTCGTATCAATTGTTTTAATTTGATCCATAAATTATTCAATTTGAGTCATTTTGATCCCTAAATTATTTAATTCGTCTTGTTTTGATTCCTACATTGACGAACCATTAATTTTTCGACAAAATAATCACATGTTTGACACATGATACCATCTAAAAAAATAATACGTGGTCACATCCGTCAAAAAACTTGACGGTCTGTCTATGTAGAGGTCAAAATAACACAAATTAAATATTTTAGGGATCAAATTGATAAAATTGATACAATAAGGACTAAACTGACAAAAAATATATATTTTAAGGATTAAAAATGATATTAGTCCTTTTTTTTATTTAATGTGTTTTAAGTGTCAAACAACATATTTATCAATTATATCAATTTTAGAATCATGTCGTGTCGAGTTCGGATTGATGGGTCAAATTGATACCCCAACTTAGAAGCTTCAAAATAAATTATTTCATTTATAATTATAGGTGGACAACCTGCTTTAGGATTATAGCCTTAAGCTAAAGGCACGTGTTATCTAAGGTTTATTTACTTAATCTTAGCAAATGGAGACATTAATGGGTGAATAACACTTAGGTCCCAAAGGTTCATGCAAACTTCGATCAGAATTGTATTTTTTGCATAAATAAAAACGAGTAATGTTATTTAGACTTAAATTATCGATACAATTTGATGACTCAACTTGCTATTCAGGGGTGCGATGGATCAATCCTTCTCGATGACACGCCTTCGTTTACGGGAGAAAAAAGAGCAGCTCCAAATTTCAATTCTGTCCGGGGATTTGATGTGGTTGATAAAATAAAGTCCGCTGTGGAAAATATTTGCCCAAGTGTGGTCTCTTGTGCTGATATATTGGCCATTACTGCTCGAGACTCCGTATATATTGTAAGTCCTAAAAAAAACTGTGACATCAAAATACTTGATATGCTGTATTTAATTTTAATTAATATTTTGGCTTTCTTAATTAGAAGAGGAGCTCATTGTATGTACATATGGTTTTGATAATGCAGCTTGGAGGGCCTGTTTGGGATGTCAAACTTGGAAGAAGAGATGCTAGGACTGCAAGCCAGGCTGCAGCCAACAACAGCATTCCTCCTCCAACTTCTAACTTGAATGCTCTCATTTCTAGTTTCAATGCTGTTGGCCTTTCCACCAAGGACATGGTTGCCTTATCTGGTTTCTCTCTCTCTCTCTCTCTCAAATCATTCAAAATTCGAGCACTTCTAAAAGTGTTCACTTCATTCCACAAGCTAAGCCTTTTCTTAGGGAGGAATGCTATTTGAACTTAAAAAACCAATTTACTCAATCATTGTTATTGATTTAACTATGAGTTCTAATATTTTATCTACTACCTATTCAGTAATTGTGATTGATCGAATTAGTAAATCAAGTCAATATTTTAAGTTTAAGTAGAATTTTCCTTTCTTATGCTTAGATTTTGATGAGCTATGTTTGTGCCTATAGGGCTCAACAAAATGCCCTATAATAGAAAAGCTTGGCATTTGAATTTTATTCCCACGTATTTTTCCTCTTTATTCACGTTACCCTTTCCCCCTATTTGCTACTATATAGAAACAAAATGTTGAACTTGGAAAATATAATCAAAAGATTTTAAGCAGGCCCATTAAATGTGGCCCGATATAAACCCGCTAAAGGACTATTGGGTCTGGCCCAATAGACAGGCCCCCGCTTTCTGATCGGCTATCCCGGTCCAACCTGTTGACCAATCAGACAACCCATCTACCTAACCTGTTTTTGACTTTTTTTTTTCTTTCAAATAAACATTTCTTGATCCAAAAATATCATTGCGACAAAACAACTCAAAGGTCAGCATCAAAACAATTCATTTTCTTCTAATAATATATTTTACGAGCTTTCTTCTCATACCGATCAAAGATGAAAAACTAATGTCAGAATTCACATAGAGATGATAGACGCTTATCATGAACCTCAATAGCCTCCCATAAAACCGTTACCGCTTAGTGAACAAAAAACGGGATGCTTGCGAAGACCATTTCTAGTCTATCCGGGTTAATGAAAATCCATCTCGTGAAATGTATAGTTTGCCTATTATTTTTCAATTCTAATTGGACTGTAATTTTGTGAAACATTTAGGTTCCCACACCATTGGACAAGCAAGGTGCACCAACTTCAGAGCTAGAATATACAACGAAACCAACATAGACACTTCATTCGTTCAAATGAGAAAACGTAACTGCCCAAGTGCCACTGGCTCAGGTGACAACAACTTGGCACCTTTGGATCTCCAAACTCCTACTACCTTTGACAACAACTATTACAAGAACCTTGTTAGTCGAAGAGGACTCCTCCATTCTGATCAGCAACTGTTCAACGGTGGATCGACCGATTCGATCGTGACAACATACAACAACAATCCAAGTACCTTCAATTCGGATTTTGTCACTGGAATGATCAAAATGGGTGACATTAAGCCTCTCACAGGATCGAATGGAGAAATAAGGAAGAACTGCAGAAGGGTGAATTAATTGAGGGTCTCTCATGATTTTTGCTTTACATTGTAATAAGCTAAGTGCTTGCTTCTCTTCTATATAGAGATGTGTGTGTGTGTTTTGAAATTCTATGTTTGAGATTTTTTTTCTCCCTCTTTTTGATGTCTTTTGTTTTTGTTTTTGTTTTTTGAGGTTCCCAAGCTATGATAATGTCAGAATAACATGCACCGATAAAAGCATATGTGTTTTTTCGTGACCCAGATCTATTATAATATGATTTTTTTTAGTTTATTGCAATAGTAAATCACTTACCTTGTATTGATAGACACCCACTTATATTTGGTGGATCTCACCTAAAATTTATGACAGTTTGGCCTATGATTGTCAAAAATTAGGTCAAAGTATACAAGACATGATCAAAATATGTGAATTTGGTTGGACATCTAAATATTCTTTGAAAATCCTAAAGAAACCATACTTTACATCCAACATATGTTTGTTTACATTTTCTTTTCCTTCGTGCGTCGCTGATACAGAGAATGCCTAATACTCAACAATTTTATCTTCAATGACCACAACAATTCTAGCTGATGGTTAAATTGGGATAATTTAGAGAAATATGAGTTGGTTGGAATCCCCATTTTATAGTAAAGAGGCCATTTTCCCCTTTTTTTT